GAAGCGTGTCCATATTGGGAAGTAAATACTTAAAATCTATGACTAGATTAGAAACCTTTATGCAAAAGGATGTTCAAAGGAATGTACTTTGAGTGAGAGACATCGTATCTAAGGAATTGTCTTGTAACAATCTCCGTTAGAGGACTTTGTAATATCATTGGCAATAGTCTTGGAGACTTTGGTGCAGTGACATTACAAAAGGATCGTTGCATAAAGTGTTAGAATCTAGTATATTCTATAAGTAACAAGAATTTGATATTCTTACACTTAAGAAAAATGGATTTGGAGTTGTGAAATGAGAATGATTGGAAATGTGTTCAATTTGTCTATTTCACAAAAGTAAGAACCATAGGTAAACATTGTGTGCATGCTAGGAGCATGGGACAAGTGTTGGAATTCAAGTAAGAAGTTGATTACCCGAAACGACAAATAATGAGTAATCGGTATGGTGATAAATAAAACGTGTTTTGTTTATACTCAAAGGTTTGAGGCCATATGGGATTAGTATTATTCTTGTGTTTCACCTTGCATGTTTTGACTTCCGGAATAATTGAGTTTATTAAGAATAATCGAATTATTCAAATGGGCCACAGTCGTTCATATGTTGGAAGTAGATATGAATGAAGACTGTCATGAATTGGTGTGTGAATTGTCTAGAAAAGTATTAGACATAAGCAAATGTTTGCTGCAACGTTCATGAGTGCTTATGAATATGATTTGAGCATTGGATTAAACCCACGCTCACTTGGATCACTATCTCGAGTGATTAGTGAGACGATAACATCTTATATTCTTGAAACCGAGATGTGTGAGTTGTATCTTGCTAATCGGTTGCACATTGATAATGTGTAAACGCACTAGTAACTTAGTGTTATAAAACATATTGTTGTGTGCGATTTGGTTAGTGAGTGCAAGCGAGCATTGTATCAAAGTTTATCCGTTCCTTTTATCCAAAGTAGGATAAAAGCGATATCTTTGGGCCCCTCGATGGTTTAGTGATGACATACGTAAATGCTCGGCCGGGCTAGGGCTAATTTGATTTGTTCAATTAGTCTGTCGTCATAAATCAGAAATCGAGAAGTAGTACAAAGAGAATGATTAGAAATCATATCTCAGACAATATCTAGAATGGAGGAATATATGATCCCTTATCTAAGGACACGCGTAACTGATATGATCAGAGTTGACAGCGGCTTTGGAAAGCTACGATTGCAGATCAGGATCTGAAGTCATACGCAGAATAGTTGTTAGACTTATCCAAGTGGGAGACTGTTGGATTAGTGTTTAAGTCCATAACTATTTTGGTATGTACTTGACCCGATGGTGCATGGTCCTTTTGGGTTGCCTTCACCAAAGCAACTTGATAGGATGAATTATGGAGAGTAAGGATTAAATATGATTTATTTATATATTATGGGAATAATATATTAAAGGAGAAATCATATTGTTTAATTAATATTAGTCAATAATTAATTGGTAATTAGTTTTGTGACTAAAAGAGATTAATTAAACTTAAGGGACTGGAATTGTAATTATAAGATAATTATAATTTGGGCCATGGATTGCCTTGTATCAAGGGTTGGACGAATTCTATGGGGAAGCCCATAAGGAAATCGTCCATGGGCTTAATTAAAGGAGTCTATGGGTTGCTTAGGGCTTAAGCATCCAAATTAGGGTTTCCTTGTTAGATAACCCTAATAGCCCAACTATATAAAGACCCCTTAAGGCTCAAAAACGTGGCTAAGCTTCTTGTAAGGGTTTACACACGTTTTTGGCAGCCTCCAACCTCTCTCCTCTTCATCCTCTTGCTTATGGTGTTTGTGAACCATTAGAGGAGTGACACTTGTGACTCTAAGCATTCCAAAGTCAATACAAGGGGAATTGGGATTGTTATTGCTACATAACAATCAAGGTAACACTATAAACTTATTCTCATGTTAATATGATTATATGTATGCTAGAATTAGGGTTTATAGTCTTGGATTCAAAGCGTGTACAATAGAGAAACCTAGATCCAAGCATTAGGGTTTGTATGAGCACATAGGATGTCTTATGACCAAAACCCATCAAAATGCTCCTATCAAAATTGATGATGCCTCTCCACTCCGGGGATGGTTGAAATGTAATCATACCTTGATTGGAGAACTCCATAGCTTCGATCACTTAGAAAAGGCCCTGTATTCTTTTAAGAATAATGATGGTTCCAATTGTGCCATAAAATACTTCGTAAGATTGAATATAGGAGTCCGGTTCATGAATGAAGCGAGCAGGAACGCTTGCATGAATGAATGGACATAATGGTTTAGTAAAGTGGATAGTGGTGACATAGCTTCAACCAATTTTGATAGAATTGCATGGATCAAGATTTTGTGTAACGCCCCATTCTTAAAGTATTTAATTATGAGTCCCAGTGATTTAAGAGAAAAGGGAGTGTAGGTCCCTTTATGGGAAATGGGTTTTTTCCGAGAAGGCTTCGGACTGGTGTATGTTGTTAGAAGCATAGGGCTTCTCGCCACCCTCGTGTGAATGTAAAGTCTATTAGGAGCGGGTTTAGAGTAGAAGAGTTGCGGTGTTTTGAAGATAATAATTGATTATAGTTCTTGATGGATAAGTGGAAAAGGTCACATGCATGCATGACATGCATGCTTGAAATTGGCTGGGTCCGCCCAACGTAGTGAGGGGAGTAATACGCGGGTGTTTGGGTGAGTACGCCCAACGTACTAGAGGTACGCCCGACGTACTCTCAGAAACCCCAAACCCTAATTTTAGGGCCAACCACTATATAAGGAACATGTTAGTTCATACCCTAGCCTCCATAAGCTCACCCTTAACCTCAGAAACCCTAGAAACCCGTATTCCTTACATTGTTGGGTGTGTTTGGTCTTGTAAAGCTCATTTAGGAAAAAGAGAAGCTAGAAGAAGAAAGGAGAATTTGTCAAAGAAGGAGAGGAACGATTGGAGCTTGTAGATCTGGAGAGATATCATCCTTTGGAGCTTATTTGAGGTATAAAGCTTCTTTCTCGCCAATTATTTTGCATTGATCTAAGTGTTGTGAAGTTTTAGCATCATTCTTGTCCCAAACATCCTCATCCTGATTCATGCTTTGTGTTGGCCGAGATTATCTGTCCTTTCAGACCTTAGTAGAGGTCTTGAGTGAGAAAAATGAGGTCCCAAGGGTTGTGGTTGTTCCATGTGTGAGATATATAGGTCTTAATGGATTAAGACCTTGGATTAAGAGCTTTATGGACATCCCAACTAATAAAGTTTGAGACTTTATGAATCTTAGGCATATTTTCCCTAGGGATCTGAAGTTTGGTCTTAAGAGCTTAAGCCATTAAGAGGTTATAAGGACTTAATGAATTGCAAAGTTACGCCCCGCGTAGCACTTGAGTACGCCCCGCGTAACGGGCCAGTGCCCCGATCCTCTTCTGTGATTCAACGTATACACCCCGCGTACCAAGGAGGGTACGCCCAATGTACTCCCCTAGATTGGACCTTAATGTTGGGCCTTAGAGTTTGGGCTGATTGTGGGTTGTTGGTTTATGGGCCATGACTAGAAATTTTGGATAGAGTATTTTGGGCCCAATTATTGTTATGGACCTTGGATCTAGGCACATTTGGTGAAGTGGTACCAATTTGGTAAATTGGGCCAATATTGGACTTTGTATAAGATTTGGACTTTGGCCTTGGACCGATAAGTGGATGTATGCTTGGCCTAATGTGTATTTGTGCTATGTTGGCTAGTTCGGGATTTGCAGTGAGTTCGTAATTCGAGAATCTGCTTCTTCAGTTTAGAGTATTGGAAATTGCGAGGTGAGTTATCCTCACTATATCAACAGGGTCTAAGGCACCAAGGCCGGTCCTTTATCGGATTGAGATCCGCGTATTTGTTGTTATGTTATTGCTTTGATATGTTTGCATCCTGGTAGCTAGGATGGTATATGTTAGAGATCTGGTTAAGATCGGTATCCTGATATGTAGGGCGATGATATGCTAGTGACCGGTTAGGTCGGTATCCTGGTTAGGATGATGATATGTTATGTGATCTGTTTGATCGCCTTGTTGACTGTGAACCATTATATGATTGTATGTTTATGTCCACATGGTTGTTTGGACTGGAGTTGGGTTGAGGCGGGTCCTGCTTTGTGTTGTAGGCCAAGATACCCAGGGCGGACCGGTTGTTCCGAAGGCCCAGCGAGCGGTCCGGATAGGCTGTAGGCCCCACGAGGGCGGACCAGACGTGCCGAGGCTCGGAGAGTGGACCAGGCCGACTGAAGGCCCGATGCGGGCGGACCACTCATATTGTAGACTCAGAGAGTAGACCAGGTGGGTTGAAGGCCCGGTGCAGGCGGACCAACCACACTGCAGACTCGAGGGACATGACTAGACTCGGAGGGTGGACCCGGTGGACTGAAGGCCCGATACGACGGACCAGTCACACAGTAGACCTGATATGAATGTTTTTTCTATGATCGGTTATGATATGACATATTATATGTGTTTGGTATATGTGGTTGGTATTTTGGGGGTATCTCACTAAGCTTTCGGGCTTACAGTTGTGGTTTAATGTTTTTTAGGTTCTTCAAGAGGCCGTGGCAAGGCGAAGGCGTGATCGTACCGCTCCTCGTGTGTATGTTTTATGACATGGTTATGAGAATACTCTGATAATAAATTTATTGTAAACCTTTTTGTAATAAAATTATTAAAATGGGTTGTTTTGAAAAGTTTAAATTTTGTTGAAATTTTTGGTCGTTACATTTCGGGACTCCCTCTGGAATGGTGGTCAGAAGAAAACTTCACAGTGATTGTGGAGTCATTGGGTAGGGTAATTGTCCCGTTTGTGGTTGACCCATCTGTTGTGAACCTATATGTTGGTAAAGTGGGGATTCTAACTGCAAATCCTTCACCTATATCCAGAGAATCATTTGTGGAAGTAATGGAAAATAATAAATATTAGAATTTTTGAAGTCGATTTTGATTGGGTCCCATTCAAATCCAAGATGGAGAATTTCTCATCATATGATGAAGACGACGGAGACACGGATGAAGACAATGATGAAGAATATATATCTGATACGGTCCCGATGGACGATAATGATGTGGGCCTAGAGGAAGGGGAGTTCAGAATCCCGGAGGTTGATATAGTCAAAGAATCCAGTATGAGGAGCTCGAAATAAGACCCTCCTCTAGATTCCCCGTCACCGAAGGTGATGTCGTCGCCGGTAGTCGATGCAACAAATGAAGACGATCAAGGAAATGGAAACGACATTCATGGGGATTGCCAAAAGTCAAGCATAGGCATGGAGGTGCATGGTATGTCACAGAGGGAAGTTGAAAGTTTAAATAATAATGAAAGATCAAATAATAAAGAGAGCAATAATGATGTGGTAAAATCTCGGATGGTTGTAATTCATCAAAAAATATTAGGAGCTGCTAAAAGATGATATAATGGGATTTGTAAAACACTTTGAAGAAGGGGGTAAAATCTCGGATGGTTGTAATTCATCATTTATTTCTCTTGCTGCAAAATCAAAAGATCCAATTCACTTATGTGACTTTAGACCTATAAGTCTGATTGGACCTTTGTATAAAATTATCACAAAGCTGTTATCCCTAAGACTAAAGCGAGTCATCGGGGGGGGGGGGGGGTTTATGGGAAGAACAATCGGCTTATGTTGAGGGGAGGAACATACTTGAAGGTCCGTTGATTGTAAACGAAGTATGTACTTGGGAAAAAGCAAAACGTAGGAGGATGCTCCTGTTTAAGGCAGATTTCAATAAAGCATTTGATTTGGTAAATTGGGCCTACTTAGACTCAGTTATGGAACAAATGAAATTTGGAACTAAATGGAGACTTTGGATTTGGGGATGTTTGGAATCAGTGAAAGCTTCTGTAATAATCAACGGGAGCCTAATAATCGAATTCCCTATGATGAAAGGGGTTCGACAAAGCGACCCACTCTCTCCCTTCCTCTTTATTATTGCGATGGAAGGGTTAAATATGGCAATGAAGACGGCGGTTGAAAAAGGGGTTTTTGAAGGGATAAGATTCTCTAACTCTAACATTTGCTAATCTCATCTGTTTTATGCAGATGATGCACTTTTCATTGGCGAATGGTCGAGGCGTAACATCGCTAATCTGGCTCGAATATTGAGGTGTTTCCGTATCGTATCCGGACTGAAGGTGAATTTTAACAAATCCAAGGTATTTGGTGTTGGTGCTCCGTATCTTGAAGTTTTGCATTGGTCAGCCCCTCTTGGATGTGAACCATCGTCTCTCCTATTCACTTATCTCGGTATCCCAGTGGGGGACAGTATGAATTTGAAAAAAGCATGGAGACCTATAATTGAAAAGTTCCAATCCAAGCTTTCTTCTTGGAAAGGGAAATTGCTTAGCTTTGGTGGGAGAGTAACTCTAGAAAAGGCGGTCTTGGGTTATCTGCCAAGTTATTTTATGTTTATCTTTAGGGTCCCGAAAGGTGTTATTGATACTCTCGAAAAAATAAGAAGATCTTTCATCTGCAGTAAGGAATACAACAAAAGAGGTATAAGTTGGGTTGGCTGGGACAAGATTATTGCACCAAAAACAGTGGGTGGTATCGGGTTAGGGTCGATATATTCCTTAAACATTTCTTTATTAGTAAAATGGTTGTGGCGACTAAAATCGGATAGTAGTGTATTGTGGGCTGAAGTCATTAGAGGTGTCCACAATTTAGATGGGAGACATTGGTCTTGCTTTGCTAGTAGTACCAGTAAAGGAGTATGAAAAAATATAACAAAAATCAGGCCTTTGATGATGAAAGTTAACATTGATCCTAAGGAGATTGTATCATGGAACTCGGATAGTAGATGTTGGGAATCGGAATTTATGATTGATAATAGATTCTCTGTGAGTTTGATAAGGGATTGCTTTGAAATGGCGGGACATATTGTATATGACAGACCTTTTGACTGGAACAAAATGATCCCATTCAAAATTCTATGTTTCATATGGAGAGCGAAACAGGGCAGAATCCCTTCTGCAGTTGAACTTAAATCCAGGGGGATTACTATCCCCTCTACTATGTGTATTTCATGTAAGCAAGAGGAGGAGACTAGTGATCATATGTTGATCACATGCCAATCGGTGAGGACCGTGATGAATAAAATCCTTAACTAGTGTGAAATCAGGTGTGATAACTTTAATCCAGTAAAAGACATGTTGCTATTTATTTCAAGATGGAGCAACTGCAAAAAAAGGAGAAGCCTGTTGAACGTAATTCTTTGTGAAGCTTTGTGGTACATATGGATCGATAGGAACAATAGGGTATTCAATAATTTTCCTGTTGCTCCGACAAATACAGTAGAAAGGGTGAAATCGTTATCTTTCATTTGGTGCAACAGAGGGCCATATAATAACATTGATTGGCGAATTTGGAACTTATGTCTGTTTCTATGTTTGTAATCTTCTTTCTTCCTTTTTTTTTCTCTTTGTAATTTAATGTCCGCATCATCTTGATGTAGGTGTTCTTTTTAATATATTTTCCGTTTTCCGAAAAAAAAAACAATCTAAAATGATAAGAATCGACATAATGATAAGAATTGACGTGGTTTATTAGCAGGGCTTTGAAGTTTTAATTAGTATTCCTCATTTTTTCAGCCACTTGAATCGATTAAGCCTCACTTGAATCGATCAAAAACCATGTATATTAAGGTGGTGTTTGGCTTAGCTTTTCATATGCCAAAAGTCCTTTTAGGAAAAGATCAAAGCTAAAAGATGTTTGACAAAAGCCTTTTAAAAGCAACTTTTGGATTTTGGATAGAAAAAAAATCAACTTTTTGAAAAAGTCAGAAAAACCTGACTTTTTGTAACTTTTTGGAAAAGGACTTTTGGCCTCTAAAAAGCTAAGCCAAACAACCCCCCTAAAACATCTTTATTTGTCTCTCTCTATATATACAAGAAACTACTTTCTCTTCTCTCCTTCAACTCTCCCCCTTTCTCTTAAATACTCTAAACCCTTAATTCCTTCATTCCTCTACTTACATACATAATCTAATGAAGATTTCTTATTTGTTTCAGGATTTATTGGAAAAAGGATGGTCTTTCTTGCTGTTGGGATACGACCATTTATTCATGGCGATTTAGGGGAAATAGGTATCGATTGGAAAAAAACTTGATCAAACCCTCCAATTTATACATGCTCTCTCTTTCTCTCTCTCTCTCTCTCTCTCATCTGAAGAATTACATTAGATAAAAATATATGGGCAAGGAATAGGTCGATACCCTTGACTTGATCCTCCATCGAGGTGCTTGATGTTGAATCTCAGCTATTGATTTATTTTGATCGACTTATTGAATTCTCTACTCTTATATTAGTGTAATTTGTTCTGATTTCTGAAATCTATGTAGTCAACGAACTCAATTTTTTGTAAAATCCCCACTTCTGATTTTTGATTATATAACAAAAATTGGTACTGTCATCCCATCAAACAGAGCTTACCTCTTCAGTTGTGGAGTATCAATTGGTATATATTAGAAACACTAATTCTATTTAAATTGATGTTTGTTCTTTATTTGGATAGGTTTTTTGGACTTTGTATATGAGAAAAATTCAGGTAAAGTTTCAGATCTGTAGGTAAGACTACAACTACAAGTTGTTTAAATTGATGTTATGTTTTGTTTTTGTGTAAATATTTTTTGTTTATTTATTCAAAGATTTTAGCTAAACAAATCTTAAATTACTGTTGTTAAAAGTAGGAGCCGAAGTTTGTGTATGTAAACAAAAAATTCTTAAAGTCCACCCAAGCTTATTGTAAAAAGTTTGATCCAATAGAAATCTTAATACCTCTAGTCTTGATGTTGTTTACCTAGGGACTGTCCATGAAGTCACAATGGATTATTGACCTTCTATTTTGATGTATGGTAAAAAGAATACATAAAATGCTTCACTTTGATGCTCAATCAGATTAATGGTCATAATTTTTTGTTCTTAGATCTCATTATGTGACTTTGATATAGATCTATTGGTCCATCTTATGATATGTTCATCGGTTTACATGAAGACTTTTGTGACAACCCGATATTTTCGAATCAGTGTAATGACCTAAAAAGTCAAGGATTTGTAATCTCTTTTAATGTAATGAAATTTGCATCAAAATTTTGAATATTCAAAAGTCTCTATTGGGTTACATAAAATGATAAACATTGTATCAAGGGGTTCAGAAATATAAAAACACTAAACACCGAGTTATAACGAAGAAGTTATGACAAATCTAAGAGTCACAGTAAAAACAGGCAATACTGATAAACGTAAACCGTGAAGTTTCAATACAATTATATTTAGCCTTAGGTATCTAAATGAAAGTTGTCGATATCATTAGACCGTACGCGCATATAAAAGAACGTCCAAATTTGATTTCGTCTGGGAAAGTTATGATTTTTCCAACTTCCGAAAACAGCAACAAACAACTAAAATACTTGAAATAGAGTTCGAGAGATTTTTAGCCGATACAACCTAAATGAGAATTGAAGATCTCAACAATAGTAGCACAACGGTATAAAAGTCTGACGAGAACGGATATCACATAGAGAAATTATGGATTTTTAATGGACTTTTCGTGTCTCGGCACGTTAAAAATAAATAAAAAGAAATAAAAAGAAAAAATAAAGTCAAAATTTGCCAACGGAGTCTAAACAAGAGTTGTAGAGCATAATCTCACCTACGCGTGGATATAAAGAATGTTACAAATTTTCGGCACAAAATTCGAGGCTGTCAGGCCCACCATGACGTGGTGAAGAAGCCACGACGCTGTATTGTGATTGATGGGTGTCAGGTGCGTCAGCAAACGTCTCGTCAACGGAAGAGGATAGAATCCCTCACCATGACGTGGTGCCCAAAATAGGGCTATAAATAGCAGCCGAAGGTGTTAGGTTCCATTACTCATTTCTTCTCTCTCTCTCTCTCGTGCCGAAGCTCTAGGTTTAAACCCTCGAAGCCATCCCGAAGCCCTGGTCTTCATATCCAAGTTCTGAAGGAAGGTTTTTCACTCCCGAGATTCTCGAGAATCCTGAGAAATTCAACTTTTCCTAGTCGAAGTTCTGCTCAGTTTTCATTTCACCTTTTTCTGTCTAGCAAGTGAGTTCATACCCCTACAACTACGTTTTCAAATACTTTATAAATGCTTTTATACACTTTCAAAGGGAGAATACAAGTAAACAGACGGCTACTCTCGTGTGGAAAACATTAAACTCTTATTACACTTATCTTTATATAACAAATCGTATGTGATTCATAAATATCATATGAAAACGTCGCATGAAAACCTATTCAATAGCATTTTTTCCTTTAAGAGTAAAAACATGTTGTTATACAAATATCAAACACTTTATTTATATGTTGGTGTACAAATGCTCAATAGTGTTATTACAAATGTTCTACTTACATACCAAGCTGGTACTGCACTAGGGTTTATCATACAACGAATCATACATTTGAGAGAAACTATAATAGGTATAGTTTACAAGATATTCAAGAGATTTTACATACTATAAGTACTATATCAAGGAAATACTTTCATATACAAGAACAAATTAACTTTTCATATGTAAATCTATTTGAAACTAAGTTTTGTGAGACGTTCAGCTTCACGTACTTTCGAGTATGTTGTTAAAGTCGTGTATTATATATGATAATCTCTTGTAGGGAGAACGTGATACTTGTGTATAGATCTATACATGATTGATAATCCCGCACCAAAACTGTTAGCTACAGTTTGACCGGAAGATCTGGGATGAAAAACATCATAACATTCCAACACTGAAGAACGTTGTTATAGGCAGTCAGGGTCAATAGTATGGTTATAAAACTCACATGGAGTATTAAAAACTATCACACCCCAAAACCATGAACGGTGGAATACGTTATGGGGTGGAGGACGTCATGTACAGTATGATAACAATTGCATAATAGTAAAAACAAGCTACAACAACCATTGCATTAATATAGTAATTGTAAATACAAACGTGTTCTGTACAGTTAATAGACACCAAAAGTATAACAAAAATAAAAGATGGGTCTTGTATATGCTCCAACTTCTCAAAAGTTGCACCAGTACCTATCTATCTTTGACTTGAGGATACAAGTTATTTTGAAAACGAGTATCAGCATAAAGCTAGTGAGTTCATAAGATTTTAGTGTCATTGCTTGTATAAAAGTGTTTACAAACATGTAATATAAAAGCTGAAATAAGTGTTGAGAGTAGTAGAAATCCTTAGAAAATCCTATATTTTCCATAACTGTATATTTGTAAGTTAAATCCTTTGAGTGTGTAAAAGTATTTTCATTGAAACTTTTAGTATTAAAAATAAGGTACTAAATTTCACACAAGTAACGTAAATGAGTAAAAGTATTGCTGGTTGACTGTAGTAGTGTTGCATTCTTCAATATATATTTATTAATTTGGGAAATTAGCTTAGACTTTAAGTCTTAGTGTGTTAATTTGGATATGGATGTGATTTCTCATGTAACCAAACTAAGTGATTATAGAGGGCCCGATGACCTTCCCGATCATCCGTAGTGTAGTGATGTAGTGCCACCCCTGGGCCTAGTCGGCTCGGACTGTAATTAACAGTCGGGATGTAATAGTGTCTGTCCTGTATAGATCTATACATGTAGTGTTGCTTTCCTTCCGGGAAGCCCTGGTTACATGGTATTTACGCAGTAGAGTGCCGTATAGAGGGATAGTGTGATATATTTTGGATAAGTGTATTCTCTTGTATTATAGTATAGTAACTTTAGTATAGTATAGAGAGTATTCTCTTAAGCGTGTCTTAACTCGTGATAGTAGTAATTATAGCAGGTATCATAGTGATAGAGGTAACGAGCAGTAGTATTAACTATACCTATTATAGTTAAATAGAGTGTGGAGTCGCATGCCTTTGATATACAAAGGTATTGAATAAGATGAGACTTTCATATCTAACACAATATATATGATATATAACTAAGAAATCACCAACAGTCGTACGAATAACAATATACCCTAAGACCACAATCAAACAAGAACATGAAATAAGGTGAGCTAGCGGTCCTAAGTCCTTCAACTCTTATTTATATAAATATATTGATGTCGACATAGTTTAAAATAAAAATAGTTTAAACACAATTTGAAAATAGTTTA